AAATCTACGAACACCAGTTATTTGAAAAGATCTCACTTGAAAATATAATATCAAGTTATTTATGGTGTTCCTACTTAATACAATTTATTAAAACAAAATGATCGAAATGAAATGATTCAGTTTTGATGTATTTTACTAAATGATTAAGTTAAATCAAAACTGAGTCATGATGTTTTAATCATTTTTGTAGAACGCACATGTGTTTTCGAAGAAAATTGTGAATGCATCCTTTAAAATTCAACCTTTTCTGCTCCATTTCTCCTTCCGTTACAGATAGAAAGCAACAGAAGAGAACATTACAAACATATTTCCTTCCCTCCTTCTCCCCCATTATGGACCTCAGCAACGGGGCACAAAAGGCTTTACATTCTATACAATAGTCAAACGCATTTATTAATATTTGAAAAAAGTGTTTCGACTTACCAATAATGGATTAGGATAACAACTTGGAAGCAAATATGTGAGTTCCACATTTGAACTCCAAAGAAGCTGTGCTGAGAAGTTTTCATTGTTTCGTTTTTATTAGAACAGTGTTTAACAATTTGCACAATGGTTTTCAAGCGAGATTTTTACAAATACCTCCTTTTCGTAGATTTTCCTAAGCACTTTTGTGGTGTACGTAGACGATTATGTATGTCAAAGTTCGATAGAAAAAATGTTGGCAGATATTTATAGAAATAGTTTCCATAAGGTGGTAGAAGTTTTAGGTAAAGATTAATTGAAATAAGTGCTTATTTTTTATATGTATGGTGTTCACAGACTTTTAATCATATTTGAGAACTGTCTGTAGGTATACAAGTCTTTTTCACATAAAATTTTGCCTTATACGATTCGGATTCTTTTCAGATCTATTCAAAATAGGTGATCTTGGATGTTCGCAAGTACAATCCATCGAGTTCTATCTACCTTATAAATATATTTAACCTATCTTTTTTTTACGGTATTCGCGTATTTTACAGATAGCTGTCCCCAGTCGAACATCTTGTAAGTAAGATCTTGGTCAAGATCTTAGGTACAGATAAGTGAACAGATCTTGAAAATTGACGTGCAAGATATTATGATTATCTTGTACCAATATCTGTGACCAGATCTTGGGTACAGATTTCTAAGATCTTGACAGAAG